CGATATTGACATATTTCATCACACCACTCTTTCTCTCAATTCCAATACTCTCTTCATCTTGAAGATATCAAACTCTAGTTTTTTTTCCCAATTTTCTACTATAGATCCAAACTACCCAAATTATGGTTTAGATTCTGAATATCCTAATAAGTTTTAAAATTTCCCAAACACACAATATGAAAACTATGAGTCACCCTTTTATGCTAATCATGTTGTTATCCCTGAAAATGTCCAAACTTCGCAAAAGGGCTCACGAGTTGATTCATGGGATACGAGAGAAAATACAGTTATGATGTCAGCATGGATCTTCGTTAGTGAAGATGCTACTCGTGGAAAAAAACAAAAGAAAGAAAAGTTATGTTCACGATTGAAAGAACACTATGATTCAACTCGCGTAGAAAATTCAGAAGGACTAGGCATCCGGAACGAAAATCAAATGAAAGGTCGTTAGTCTTGGCTTAAAGCACATGCAAGCAAGTGGGTTGGTGTTTAGAGAGAAGCATACCGTCAAAAAAAGAGTGGAATGAGTAACACAAATGTTGAGAACGTAGCTCACAAAATTTATGAGGCAAGTGAGAAAAAGTTTAATGATTTGAAGGTATTTAACGAAGTTATGTGTAAACATCCCCAGTGGGACTTACAGTTACATCGTGAGACAACATGTTCTTGCTCGGAATATGAAGTGGGTGATGAAGGAAGTGGTTGAAGCACGAAAAGATCAAGAACTACCGAAGAAGGAGATTCTGTCGATATCAACCAAGAATCGCCAATAGATAGAGATGCAACAAAGAAAAAAGGAAAATGTAAGGCATCACAATGTTCTTCGATTTCTAATGATTTTTCTAAAAATCTCCATGCATTAACTATTACAAGAAACAATGAAGTTGAAATGATGAGAAAAAAAATCAATTTTGATCAAGAAAATTTTCAAATCGTGCAAGACCACAAAATGTTACACTTACTGATGTCTAAAGAAAATTTGTCACCACGACAAGAATAGTTGAAAGAACGTCTTATGGAAAATTGTATGGATAGTGATATGTTTGTAAAGATCACATGTCATTATCTAGTAATTATTTTTTTTTTCCACTAAAGATCACATGTCATTGTCTAGTAATTATTTGTTGTCTTTTTTCACTAAAGATCACATGCCATTGTCCCTCACTGATGATTCAAAATTTCCCTATATATTTGGTTTTCATTCATCAAAACTTATTCACACCCTACAAAAAATTCCATATTTCACTAAAATGTCTTTCAGTGAAAACTCATCACCAGAATCAGTTGATGAATTTGAAGCATGGCAATCATAAGTTTTTTCAAGAAAACCAACAAATTGATCGCATGCTCGAGGATATGCTCATCAACTCTTCCAATCTATTCATAGGAAATCAACTTCCAAAAGCAAGAAGGTATCATGACAGGCAACGCGACATAGGTGAAGCGCGTTTGATGGAAGACTACTTTGTGGACAATCCGACATATGATGACGCTATCTTTCGGAGAAGATTTCGAACGAGAAGATCTTTATTCCGTCGTATAATAGATGTTGTGACTACTAATGATGATTATTTTCAACAAAGATGTAATACCATTGGTAGACTAAGTCTTTCACCATTGCCAAAATGTATTGAAGCCATGAGGGTGTTGGCATATAGGATATCAGTTGATGCAGTTGATGAATATTTGAGAGTAATTGGTGCCACAACAAGAGATGCTTTCATGAACTTTGTAGATGGTGTCATATAATGTTTTGGTGATGAGTACTTCCAAAAGCCTAACAAAGATGATTTGGCAAGACTACTCCATCCTGGAGATCAACGTGGATTCCTAGGTATGATAGGTAGTATTGATTGTATGCATTAGGAATGGAAAAATTGTCTGATCACATGGGTTGGAAAATATGGCAGAAGAAGTGGAAAGCCAATTTAGAAGCCGTTGCATCTATGATTTATGGATATGACATGCTTTCTTTGGAACACCAGGTTCGTTAAATGATATTAATGTACTCCATCGATCTCCTGTTTTTGATGATGTATTAACAGGTCGAGCACCACAAGTTTGTTATATCGTAAATGGTCGCGAAAACAATGGGGCATATTATCTCACAAATGGCATATATCCTTCATGGGCTACATTTATCAAGTCAATTACGTTTCCCACTTGCAGAAAAGATGTTGAACGAGCATTTGGAGTTCTACAAGCTCATTTTGCATTTATTCGCACCTATGTCTTGTTTGGGATAAAGATAATATGGGATGAATTATGATTGCTTGTTTCTGCATAATATGATAGTTGAATACGAATGAGACGCATACTTCCATTATTATGATCCCACTGAATTTCTTAACGATATGCCCACAAATCGACAACCCGAAAGTTATACAGAAGATGATGGTCAAACGTCTACATTCTCTACTAAACAAATTGGATCTAGCCACTTATATGGCTATTAGGGAACAACTTCGTGATAGTGAAACACATAATGCTCTAAAAGTTGATTTGATTGAGCATATATGATAAAAAATCGGCACTAATAATTAATTATGTCTTTTAGATATGTAATTTCGTACTTCTTTTTTGTAACTTGTTTTATTTATTTTCAGTTGTAAGTTTTTTTTAATTATAATTATGTTTAAAATCTCGTTTTGCATTTTATCTGTTTTTTATATTCAAGAATAATAAAAAAGAATATTTTAGATATAATAAATTATTATATATATATATATATTAAAATATTTGAGATTGAGTTGGATCAATAATAAACCATAAAAAATGTAAGATTGGATTGAGATTGACCATCCACATACGGCTTGCAAAACCCTTTCAAAAGGAATTGCAAATGGCCACCTCACCATAGTTTTGTCTGACACTGTGCCAAACACAACCTTAAAAAACGAATAAAATAGTCATGTTTTCATGTAGATGCCTTTATTTTTTTGAAGAGTAGGTTATAATAAGGACTAACAAATATTTGCACAAAATGAGGAGTTATATTGATTTTATTGCCCTAAAAAACACACCATCTGACACTTGCAGTCAAGTTGCTTCTGATAAACGAGTTGACTATAAGGTTGTTTGTCTGCAAAAAAAATTGTTATGTGCTTTAGTAGGAGTCCTAATATACCCCAAAATTTATGTAACTCTTATACTTTTATATTTAAACATTATGATTCACAGATTGACAGTTTAGAAATACTCCTAAATGATTGACAAATGACATTAATGAACATATGATCAAGTGTATAACAGGATTATGTTCAAATGTTATAATGATGTTCACAACAAATATTGAAGTTCGATAGATATTGGATAGCATGCAAAAAAGATGACATATGACTAAATATCTTTGTCACAACCTTCTCTCAAGAATTATGTGAAAATGTAATTGTAAAAGCCATAAGTTGAAGTGATTTCAATCAGGGGCGGATGTACTTGAAGCTGGTTGGGGTCCTGGGCCCCCAACAAAAACTAATTTACAAAGCCCAGATTTTTTTTTTACTTGTATTTTTTAATTGAGTGTAATTGGACCCCCAACATCATGAGGTAAGAGGCCCCTCTTCACTAGTTCACTTACCAAGTTACCAGTTACCATTTCACCATTCAATTTCAACAAACGACGGGAACAATTGAACGAACGATGGATTCACGAAAAAGAGAGTGAAGACGACGGACAGTGCCACAGCGGGACAGACGAGACGAGATCACGAGACTTCAGTTCAGGCCACTTCTTCTTCTTCATCGCTGCGACGCTGCCTACAGCCTACTGCCCTACTTCTTCGCGACTTCGCCTCTTGCCAGTCGCCTCTCGGCTCTCGCCTCTCGCTAGTTGCCTCTTGGGTAAAGATTCTAATTTCCAAATTACTTCTTTGATTTTGTAATTTGTTGTTTGTTAATTGCTTATTGGTGATTTGGTGGTAAATGCTTTAGGTTAGGTACTTTAGGTTAATTTTGTTGGCAATTTTGTAGGCAATGCAATGCAAATCAAATGTAAATGTCAAATGATAGGTTAATTTTGTAGGCAATTTTGTAGGYAAATCAAATGGAAATGTCAAATTTTAGGTTAATTTTGTAGACAAATAAAAATGTTACTAAACCATTGATTTTTATCTTGTTATTGTTGTTGCTAGAAAAAAATGGAAAGATTTTTTTAAAAGGAAAGCATCAACACCTTAATCGAGCTCTGCTCCTTCGACGCCTTGCGAAATTGATTTGAACGATCTTCCTTGGGATCCGGCCGATAGGAAAAAGATTTCGGAATATCATCCTAATCAAAGGGATGAAATAAGGAGAAAATACTTGCTTAGAGGACATTGTCAACCACGGGGTCATGCATTTCCAAAAAAATTTGTCGGGAGTAAAGGAAGACATTTTTGTCCGACTTGGTTTGATCAATATGCTAATTGGTTGGAGTATAGTGTAAAAACGGATAGAGCTTTTTGTTTGTGTTGTTATTTCTTTAGAGATCATTACGTAGGACAATGTGGGAGTGATGCTTTTGTAACAGATTGTTTTAATAGTTGGAATAAAACGGAAAGACTTGGTCTTCATGTCGGCGACATCAATAGTTTTCACAATAGAGTACTTAAGAAAAGTGAGGATCTAATGAGCCAAGATCGATCTATTGCTGTTGCCTTTCATAAATCAAACTGAGAAGGAGAAGAATGTGCACCGAATACGATTAGATGCTTCAATTAAGGCCTGTAGATTCTTGTTGAAGAATGCATTGCCCTTTTGTGGTCACGATGAATCTGAAATGTCTATCTCTAAAGGCATGTTCTTGGAAACATTAGCCTTAATTGGTGATTGCAATGAGGATGTAGGTAAAGTTATATTAAAAAAATGCTCCAAAGAATAATCAAATGGTGTCTCCAAGTATTCAAAAAGATATTGCTGCTTGTTTTGCAAATCAAATACTCAAATCCATTCGTAAAGAAGTTGGTTATGATGTGTTCTCGTTGCTAGTTGATGAGTCTAGTGACGTTTCTAAGAAGGAACAAATGGCGGTGGTTTTACGATATGTTGATGCACATGGTATTGTTAAAGAGAGATTTTCTGGTATTGTTCATGTGACGGGGACATCTTCTTCAATTCTTAAAYCTGCCATTGATAGTTTATTTGTTGAACATGGATTGAGTTTGAAACAGGTAAGAGGGCAAGGTTATGACGGAGCAAGCAATATGCGGGGTGAGTTCAATGGATTAAAGGCCTTGATCTTGAATGAAAATAGCTCGGCATATTATATCCATTATTTTGCTCACCAACTTCAATTAGTTGTTGTGGCGGTTGCCAATAAACATGATGGAGTTGAGAACTTTTTTAATATGTTAGGAATGGTGATCAATGTGGTGAATGTTTCTTGCAAGCGTAAAGACATGCTTCGACAAAGTTACAAAGATAGAGTGCAAGAAGCAATTGGTAAGTGTGAAATTGATACTGGAACAGGRAAATGCCAAGAACTTTCTCTTATACGAGCCGGAGATACACGGTGGGGTTCTCATTACAAAACCATTTTGAGCTTGATTGTTTTGTTTCCGAATGTTGTTGAAGTGCTCCGGTATGTTGAAGAGGACGGGGATAATAGTTTTAGTCGCACTTAAGCAACTGGTATTTTAGCATATTTGAAGACATTTGATTTTGTGATTTATTTGCATTTGATGTTTCATATTTTAGAGGTCACAAACTCGTTGTCACGGGCTCTTCAAAAAAAGGATCAAGATATTTTGGAAGCGGTWTCATTGATAAGAGGAACCAAACAACTATTGCAACAATTTAGAGAAACTGGTTTTGATCCACTTTTGAAGAAAATGTATTATTTTTGTGAAACAAATGGTATTAAGGCTTCGGATATGGAAGACCGTTATTCAAAAACCAGAAGACAAAGGACCAACATCACCAATTGTCATTATTACAAGTTTGATATTTTCAACACTGTTGTGGACATGCAAATTCAAAAGTTTGGGGATCGATTTAGTGAGGTAAGTACTGAATTGCTTAAAAATATAGCAGCTTTGAGCCCATGCGCTTCATTTTCGCAGTTCAGTGTATCAGATTTATTGAAGTTGAGTGAGTTGTATCATCAAGATTTTAGTCATATGGAAAGGATCGCTCTTGAGAAACAACTTAACATGTACTATTTGATTGTGCGTCAAGATGAAAGATTTGCCAATTTGACTGGTATTGCCGAGCTCGTTAGACTCCTAGTGGAATCAAAAAAGCATCAAACTTATCCTCTAGTATATCGGTTATTGAAGTTGGCTTTGGTTTTGCCGGTTGCTACTGCAACAGTCGAAAGATGTTTTTCTGCTATGAAGATTGTGAAGTCAGATTTGCGCAACAAAATCGGTGATGAATTTTTGAATGCTGCAATGATATGTACTATAGAAAAAGAAGCACTTCTCGCAGTTTCAAATGATGATGTAATTACTCAATTTCAAAAGATGAAAAGTCGTAGGGCACAGTTGTAATAGGTAACTTTTTATCATTTTTGTATGAAATTGAAGTTAATTATTATTTTTATTTTATATCGTGCGCCCTACAATATATTTTTCTGCATCCGCCACTGATTTCAATTATATTATGAGTTCGAATTTGCCAAAATATATTTGAAATAATATGTGTTTGAAACCAATTAAATTTTATTTGAAAGTTGAGATGTTATGTGAAAAAGATAAGACAGTGAGACAATAAACAGTGCAGAGTTCCTAGTTTATCTACTATTCATAATCTCACATACACCAGCCATTCAGACGCTTTTAGATGCATGCATGCATCTACTTCAATACATCTCATCCATCTTCATATCTCTCTGTTACACGTTAGTCTTTTTTCTTGTTATTTTCTTATATACCTGCTATGGGAAATAGTTAAAGTATACGAATCAAACTAATCATTCACATATAATTAATTTAAGTTTAGTTTATCTTACATATTATTTATATTTTCGTAAGAGGGCAGGCAGAGCCGGTCCTGAGATTTTGGATGCCATGGCGGAAAACCAAAAAAATGTCCCTTACATATGCATATAAAAATCAAAATAAACTATTTGAATGGGTTTGGAACCCAGTCAATCTAGGCGGCTCATCCACACGCCGATTTGTTTTAAATATAATAAAAATGATGCAACGGAGGGGGTGGGGGGCATAAACCAAAATCTCGTGTAACAAAATATAAAATACATCACCGTTCACCTAAAACGATGTCTTCTTGCATTTTTTGGAGCAAAAATATCTATCACTTTGTCATAACTAATATTAGCTAAAAACTTACTCTCAATACTCAACATTGCTAACCCGTTCAATCTTTCTTGACTCATGGTAGATCGTGGATATGACTTCCACAACTTTAACTTCGAAAAGCTTATTTCCGCAGATGATACGGATATTGGTACGGTCAATAGAATCCTGTAAACAAGCAAGACATATGGAAACATGTCCTTCTTCTTTGCAAACTCCATAATTTGTATGGATGTCCAAAGATTTCCACTCTTAGATGCCTCTTCTGGTAGCGTTCTCTGCAAAACTTGTAACTCCATAAACAAATATTCTTCATCAATATCAGAATCATTATCATGCAAAATAACCAAATTTCGYCCATCAAACAAGAAGCCAAACATAGATTCAAATTCTTGCATTTGTTCAAATCTAGTTCGTAATTACAAAAGAGTCATATCAACTAAAACAAAAAAAAAAAAATAACCAGTTCTAAATGTCTCTTGACCGGATTGTTGTTCTCTCTTTGTATTTGGAATTTCATCAAGTTGTTTTTTCCCGGAGAAAAACATTTTACAACAAACTCAGGTTTAACTACAATATTATTTGCAATATCTTTAGCTTCACTAATAGCAGATATAAACCCATTTTCCCTATATTTTTCAAAAATTTCAACTAATCCCTTTAGATTTTGTATTGCAATATCGAGAAGCATATCTATAGACTGTAACTTCTTGTTAATTAAATTAATTCTATGTAGAATTCCATGCCAAAATAACCAAACTTACAATAAATTCAAAACTTGAAAGCTCACGATTAACCAAAGACTTGGCTTCCCTACGCACTCTTCCATCCTCACTTATCCGAGCCTATTGTATTAAAGCATCTCTAATTTGGCCAACTTGAGTTTTGATAGCTTTAACACTTTCAATATGACTTTCCCATCGAGTGGCAGATAAAGATTTCAAAGTCAAATTATCAATATATTATAATAAAACAATCCGCTCTTTGTAGACATAGAAAAGACATTGTATATGGCTTGACAAGTACCCAAAAAGGTTTTCGCTTTGTGACAAGAATTTGTCATATCACATAAAACTAAATTAAGACTATGACAACCACATGGCATAGAAAAGGCCTAGGATTTATATCAAGTAATCTTTTTCGCACACCTTGATATTTCCTTTTCATATTATAGCCATTGTCATACCCTTGTCCCCGCACATAATTCATATCCAAATCAAGTGATCTCAAAACATCTTGTAAAACATTAAAAAGTACTAAACCAGATGTATCTTCTACCATCAAAAACGCTAAAAAGAACTCTTCTACTTGTATAGGAGAATTGGACACATCAACACATCTTATAATCTAAGTCATTTGTTCTTGATGTTCATTTAATGTATATATTATCACCTAACGAGATCAATTACCAAATGCAAAGATTTTATTACATAATCATCAATCATATACCAAGTGAGATAAAGCATTCTCACACCATAATAAAGATCTTGTTCCATCTTTGCCGTCTAAATTGGGCATCTTTCACAGGTCAAATCGTGGGTGGCAGAGGGGTTCTTAGATGTAGCTCATATGTCATGCACCAATATGATACATGTTATGGGATAAACGAGGGGCCAAAAGGACCTCAAATGGAAGAGCTTTGTTGGTGGTCAATCCCGAGCCTTCACTCATATCAACAGGTTCATTTAATGGTTTTCTGAGCGCGAACTGTTGTATCAAACCAGCTAATATTAATGGAAAAGTTTGGAGTGCAAGAAAAACACTGGGACACGTTCTTCTATCACTACCAAATGGAAGCAATTCGTAATGTTTCCCCTTTACATCATTATCTTTATGACTTGTCAAGAATCTTTCAGGCTGAAGCTCGTTGGGATTTGACTAGATATTAAGATCTCGATGCATTTTCCAAAGATTGACCAAGAAACATGTGCCTTTGGGGATGTTTTAGCCATTCACAGTGCAATCCTCCATGGAGTCACGAGGAATGGAGAGAGCCGCAGCTTGGTTTAAATGCAATGTTTCTTTGATGATGGCTTTATAGGAGGCCTTAATTTTAGGACTTATTCTTTGTCAATTACCTTTTATTTCTTTCCTTGTTTAGCCTTTTGGTTGTCTATTTATTTTAGGCTCTCTGGTTGTTTTGAAGAACAAAAATCAATGAATTAATTTGATTACCTCTGACCATCCAAAATTAAGATGGTATCAGAGCGGTTGTAATCGCCGATCACGTTCCCATCGTCAATCATGGCCGGAGGAGAAGACTCAAACAAAACCAAATAAGGCTCTATTGATCCTTCATCATCATACTATTTCCACCCTTCCGATCTTCCCAAACAACTTCACGTAAATGAAGCTCTCACCGATGGGAATTATGCGGATTGGGCACAGGAGATGTCCAACTTCTTATACCCCAAAAACAGAATGGATTTCGTCGATAGAACCATTCGAAAACCAGAAACCGCCTCCTCCGAGTACAAACCTTGGATGAGATGTGATGCAATGATAAAGGGTTGGCTTACTGCTGCCATGGAGAAGAACATTCGTGACAACGTGAAGTATGCCATAACGTCCTCAGAGATATGGGCAGATCTACGAGAAAGGTTTGGGAAGGAGAGTGCTCCAAGGGCCTACGAACTGAAGCAAAAGATCGCAACGACCCGACAGGATGGCACTAGCGTTTCCATGTATTATACTCGTCTTAGGGCTCTATGGGATGAGTCACAATCGATCCAGTCCTTTCCGCGCTGCTCCTGCAACAAATGCACCTGTGAACTTGATAAGAAAATCATGGAACACCTTGAAAAGGAACGTTTATACGAATTTCTTTTGGGTTTAGATAACGAATTCAGTGTTATCAAGACTCAAATCTTAGCAACAAAACCCATTCCTACCTTGGGAGTCGCCTATCATATGGTGGCAGAAGACGAAAGACACAGAATAATATCGAATGAGAACCGGGTCACACCGGAAGCCGCTGCATTCAAAATGTTCCAGAAACGTGGAGGCAACCTGGAACAATCAAAATAAAAGAGCATCTTCAAACAAACAAAAAAAGGAGCATGATCAATGCACTTTTTGCGGAAGGAACGGTCACAAACGAGAAGGACGCTTCAAGTTGGTTGGATATCCGGATTGGTGGCCTGGGAAGAAGGGTGACAAACCCAAGCCAAAGGCTGCCTACGTCGAGACCGGAATCAGCCCCATTCCAGGATTAACTGACGAGCAATATCAGACATTCGTAAACATCTTCTCTACTTCTGGTCTGGGTAACAACAATGAAACCAAACGTGAGGCAAACATGGCAGGTAATAAAGATGATATTCTCATTGTTGATTCAGGTTGCACTAAGTATATAACCCACCTACATAATCTTCTTGAAAATATGAGGAGTGCCTCAAATGAAGCTCATGTCGTTGTACCTAACGATGATGTCGTTCCCGTTAAAGGCAAAGGAGATCTCATACTTCCAGGCATAGCAAGACTAAAAGGAGTCCTCTATGTTCCAAATTTTAAATATAGCCTCCTTTCAGTTAACCGATTATGCAAAGATCTTCAATGTGCAGTGACCTTCTTCTCCGATTTCTTTGTTATGCAGGGACTACGGTCGAGGGACTTGATTGGATCGGGTAAATGCAAAGGGGGGTTGTACCTTATGAACATGTCCGGAGAAGGAAGGAAAGCCATGGCTACTACAACAGACATATGGCATAAAAGATTGGGACACGCTTCAAAGGAGAAGCTATCAAACATCGAGTTTTTGAAAAGTAATTCTAATAATCTTAGCAATGTTTTTTGTGATTCTTGTGCCAAGTCGAAACTTGTCCGAACACCTTTTCCAAGCAGTTTTATCAAAACTAGTGATTGTTTTGATCTTATTCATTGTGATATTTGGGGAGGATACCGGGTTCCTTCTTATACTCGTGCAAATTTTTTTCTTACTGTAGTTGATGATTATAGTAGATGCACATGGGTTTTTTTTGATAAAACACAAAAGCGATGTTAGTCAATGCTTAATGAATTTTCACAAGTTAGTTGAGGTTCAATTTGGAAAACAAATTAAGAGGGTTAGATGTGACAATGGTGGAGAATTCACAACCAACTCCATGGTGTGTTTTTATGAAAGAAATGGGATTCTACTAGAAACTACCTGCCCCCATACCCCACAACAAAATGGGGTCGTTGAAAGAAAACACAAACACCTGCTTGAAACGGCTCGGGCCCTTCGCTTTGAGGCAGGTCTTCCGAAGAGATTTTGGGGAGAATGCATTCTTACCGCTGCGTACATAATAAACCGTCTCCCCTCGAAGGTAATAAAAAACAAAACTTCTTACGAATTGATACAAAAACAAAAACCTCGGTATGAACATCTAAGAGTCTTTGGATGCTTAACTTACTTTAAAAGTACCAACACAAAAGGAGACAAGTTCGAACAAAGGGGGAAGCCCGGCGTTTTATTAGGGTACCCTCCAGGAACAACAAGATACAAAGTCTTCGATATTGAAAGTAAAAAAATTATTGTGAACCGAGACGTTTTCTTTCTTGAAAATTCGTTTCCTTTTAAAAACATCACCAATACCATAGAAGAGCCACAATGGGATGAGCCCATCAAGTTTTATGATGAGCCCCAACAAGCATCTTCTAAACCCATTGAGGAACCCCACGATGAAATGGAACAGGTCTCCAATCTTGAACAAAATTCTGCATTCCCAGATGGAAATGAAGGTACTGTTGAAGCAAATGATGAGGCAGACTTGGGAAATGAAAATCAAAATGAGTCCATCGAAAGTCACGATGATCCAGGACCAAAAGAAAAAAGGGTTCGATCTCAGCCGGCTCGCCTGAACGATTATGTCGTCAACCTCCCCCCTTCGCTAAACAACTCTCAACCCGATCCCGATCAAGCGAACTCGACGATACATCCCTTGTCTCACTTTGTTACTTATGATAAATTTTCTCATTCCCACAAAGCTTTCTTATCGGCCATCGATTCTACCGATGAGCCGAGTTGTTTTGCTCAAGCCACACAGGATGAGAGATGGCGTGAAGCCATGCGACAAGAAATTGAAGCACTTGAAAGAAACAAAACGTGGATCCTCGAAGAGCTGCCGGAGGGAAAATGGGCCTAGACTCCAAATGGGTCTATAAAACGAAGTATAAATCCAATGGAGAAGTCGAACGGTACAAGGAGAGACTCGTTGCAAAAGTATTCACACAAATGGAAGGAGTTGACTATCACGAGACCTTCGCCCCGGTTGCCAAACTAGTCACCGTTCGGACACTGTTGGCCGTGGCAGCAAAGAAGGATTGGATCATCGACCAGTTAGACGTTAACAATGCCTTCTTGCATGGTGATCTAGATGAAGAAGTTTACATGAAGATCCCTCAAGGGTTTTCAAAAGAAGGCAAAACTAGAGTGTGTCGTCTAAAAAAATCGTTGTACGGGCTCAAGCAGGCTTCCCGGAATTGGTACCACAAATTCACAAACTTCTTTATCACCCTACGGTTCAAACAATCTAAGGCTGACTATTCCTTGTTCACATATCAAAGGGAAGATATATATGTTGCCATTCTCATCTATGTGGATGATGTCATCATAGTTGGAAACGACACCAAAACAATTCAACAAATAAAGAGCCAACTTAACAACGAGTTCAGCATCAAAAATCTCGGTCAGCTTAAATATTTCCTTGGCATAGAGGTGGCAAAAACTCATGAAGGGTTGGTTCTAAGTCAAAGGAAATATACATTGGACATTCTCAAAGACAGTGGAATGCTAGGGTGTCGACCAAGTGCATTTCCTTTCGAACAAGGCACCAAACTCGACAAAGGTGAAGAGGAAGCTCGAGTCGATGCCACCATGTACCGACGACTGATAGGACGGTTACTGTACTTACAAGCTACTAGGCCCGATATCACATACGGGGTAAATGTATTAAGTCAATTTGTTGCAGACCCAAGACGAAACCACTCAGAAGCTGCAAATCGAGTCCTTCGCTACTTGAAAGGAACGACTGGGCAGGGTATTCTCCTTCCTCGCTGCGGGCCTATAAGTTTGACCGCGTATTGTGACTCGGACTGGCTCGGGTGTCCATTCACGAGACGATCCAGAACGGGGTACCTGCTCCTTTTGGGAGGTGGGCTATTTCCTGGAGAACAAAAAAACAATCTGTGGTGTCTCGATCGTCGACAGAGGCAGAATATCGAGCAATGGCTTCCACTGTTAGTGAGGTTCTA